TTTTCAGATTTCTGTAAGATTTTATTCTATTAACTAAGTAATTGTCCTTTAGTCTTCTACCCTTGTCCCTACCCCCAGCAACAATGATAAGGATCAAGGCAAATGAAAGTCCAGAACAGTTACCCTAGTGTGAGTGCTTGCCAGCATAGTAAGGGGCTTTCTCTTCAGAGAAGACCAAAGCAGGAGACATTGACAGGAGTATGTCAGGGAATCCATAGAGCAAAAACCCTTACCAAAAACCTTAACTGTGGTGGAGCTCCTCAAGATTTTGTCAGTCCTGACTGTAAGGCGGCAAGAGAACTTCTTGCCGTCATCATGGATGTGGACCGGAGAGAGGTGGAGTCTACCGTCTACATCTAGCTTGACTCTGTCTTTAAATGGTGTGGAACTGCTGATGTGATCTTTGGTGATAAGAGCTTCCTGAGTTCCATTATCCTCCTGGTGAGAAAAACAACAGTTATTGGATATTCAACTGTGCCAACTCTGAACTGGGTATTTCACAAGCATTATTTAACTTATTTCTTGTAAAACAGAAGAGTGAAGAATTAAAAGTAAGAGATTTTTAGCATGCTACTAGAGAAAATATCATTCATTTGACTTTCAGTTAAAACCATTCTTGCTGGGCTAATGTGAGCCTCTTGGGAGGCTGAGTTGAGATTGGCTATTTGAGGCCAGCCCAGGAAAATAGTTTGTGAGACCCCTATATCCAAAATAAAATTGTCTGTAGGTGTGGCTTAATTGGTAGATCACTTGCTATGCAAACAAGAAGCCCTGAGTTCAAAAGTTCAAACCCCAGTCCCACCAAATAAACAAAACAAAAACTCACATCTAACTTGCATAAAAGCCTGGTTCTCTTCTGACAAACCCTTCCCTGTTACAACATTCCAAATGCTGCATATCTGGGGTGGGGCTTTAGGGAGCAGGAAAGGAGAGCTAACAGAAGATTCGAATTTTCATTTAGGAAGTGCTGAAATGTTGATGTCAAGATGTGCTGAGGAGAATGTTTGAGTTTTATTTACTGTCCACATGAACTGAATTATTATAGCCACATGATGTCTTCCCAGGACTGCTTTAGAAAAGGTCTGATTTAGGTCACGCACTGTGGCTCCTGCCTGTAATTCTCGCTACTCAGGTGGTGATTTGGGGAGGATTGAAGTTTGAGGCCAGCCCAGGCAAAAGATTCTCTAGACCTCATCTCAACAAATGGCCAGGCACAGTGATGTGCCAATATCATCCCCAGATAACAGGAAAGCACAAATAGGAGGAGCATGTGGAAGGAAGTCCAGGCCAACCTGGTTAGAAAGTGAGACTCTATTTCAAACTTAACCAATGCAAAAAAAAAAAAAGACAGGTAGAGCAGCTCAAGTGATAGAGCACCTTTCTAGCATGTACGAGGCCCTAAGTTCAACCCCCAGTACTGAAAAAGAAAAAAAAAAAAAGTTTGATTTCGCTTCTCTCAGAACCAGTACTAAGACAAGGTAAAGAGGTAAACAGGTCACAGAATTTAAGGGAGGCACTTACTCATAGGGTCTTGCAAGTGAAGGTTTGGCCCCGGTGAGTGGGTATCTCCTTAAATTTTGTTCACCATCTTAATCATGGTCTTAACCCTTAGAGTTGTATACCCTTATTTCTGTGCTTGTATCAGCTTCAAAGAGGACTCATGAAGAGTGGACTGTAAATGCTAACCTGAAATTTGGAGATTAGTGTTTATTTGGAGTACTTGGTTTGTCTATTATCTGTCCAGTTTGGGGTCTGTGAAGAGGAGCCCCTACTATTCTCGCCATCCCCAGTGTTTTCATGGACAAGTTTTGTGGTCACAGTGTCGGCTTGTGTTAGTAAAGGGGCCAACTTACCAGTGCAGAGAGGACTCTTGAGGGGCACACGTGTTGAGGACTGGTTAAAATCTTGTACCCTATTAGAATAACTCGATATTCTCATTTGAACTGCTTTGAAACCATCTGATATACAAAAGCCTCCTCTAGAGAATCCTCTAGAATCTGTCTGGGCTCAGGCTGAGGCTAGGGCATTTTGTGAAAGTTCTCAGGGGAGCCAGGGCTGAGACCAACTGGCCTAACTCCAAACAACAGATGAGTCACCGGAGAAATGGAAGGAGCTGGATAGAGAGGGTGAATAGGATGCATTTGATGTGGAAAATAACAAAAATGATGAAAATAATTAAAGCAAACACTTATGACTTGGGATCTCTAGTTTAAAAAATGAGATAGATTCAGGATAGAAGACATGGAAAACAGATGACGAATAAAGTGAAGTATAGACAGAATTCTTAGTTTGATTGTAGAACATATTTAGCAGAAATTCTTATGTGAGTCACAATTATTTAGATGAATCTGGTGAGGATGTTCTATAACACTGTAGTGTTTCCTGAAACGAGTCACACCCTGCTAATGTCCTACCTCTGAAGCAGGTATCTTCTAAGGTCTCAGGACCCTGGGCTGCCCTATTGAAGAGGACCAGAAGATCAAAGGGAGTCCTATTGTGGGCAGTACCAACAAAGAAGTAGAAGGTGGTCTCCTCAGCATCTGACCTAGAGGCCATAGTTAAGGATGGAGGCTCCCCCTGCAGGCCCCTTCACACCAGGAGGTATATTTTATGGTCTCTTGCTTATTCAGGACACTGCTTTTGTAAGGATTTTGGGATTGAAAAAATGTTCTTGGCTATCTAACATATGACTTGCCATTTGGAATATTCCTGTCTTCAGTTTGTTGTGGGAAGAAAGGCAGTCACAAGACTTTTAAGATAAACTGCCTTTGCCTTTATCATATAACACGGTGAGATTGTCCCTAGTAATTTCATTGATAAAGATACAATAAGTAAATAAACAAATAGACAGAACTTAACTTTAAAAGTTGTTTCATGCTGTTTTGTTTTGCTTTTCCTGGGCATTTGATTATGGCACAGAAAGAGGTTTATTCCTTTATTAGGAAAGATGGAATTCGGCTGCCAGGAATCCTGTAACCTACAACATAAGAGATCCTGAGATTTGCTGGAATCCCAGGTTATGAAGAAGATCAAGGCAAGAACATGCACATGCCCGGCTACCTTCTGAGCAAAAGAGAAAAAGGGTGGAACAAACGAACACAGGCAAACAATGACATGACTAGCACTGGGAGAGGGGAAATGATTGTGGTGTGTTGTGGCCACTACTAAAATTTCATATTCTCCTGAGTTATAACTTGAATTTGTCCTTTACCAACTATGTTGGTAAAAATATGGTGAAAAGTTCTTTCGAATCTTATACTCCTTACAACAATCTGGAGTGAATTGAGGTTAAGTAACTTGCTCAAGGCTCTCACAGAGTATGAAGGTGTTTTAGTCGCAGCATTTCATAAGAAGGATGCCCAGAAGCAGGGATGAGTGAGATTCAGAGACAACCTGTGCTCATGAAATCCAAACCATAAAGAAATAAAAATGAAAAAAACCTGCTGGAGTATCTGGAATGGGAAATTTAAGACACCCTAGAAAGCCAGGACACCCTAGAAAGCCAGAAGCATTTATCACAGGGATGGGGACATACTGGTTGAAAGGAGCCTTTTTTTTTTTTTTTTTTTTTTTTTGGTGATACTGGGATTTGAACCCAGGGTGTTGGTGCTTGATAGATAAACACTCTATCACTTGAACCACACCTTCAACCTTTTTGCTTTAGATTATATTTCAGATAGGGTCTTATACTTTTTGTCTGGGGCAGGTTTCAGACCTGCCTATGCTTCCTGTGTTGCTGGGATTATAGGTGTGTACCACAACACTAGGGATTATTTGTTGATATTAGGGTTTCATTAACTTTTTTCAGTAGTCTGGATCTTTGCATCCCAAGTAACTGGAATTACATGTATGAGCCACTGCACTGGGCCAAAAAGGACCCACATTTGGTGATGGGCATTGTGGAAAAACTTCAATTCCTCCCTGCTAATAAGATCTTTGGTAACTTAATCTTCAGGAAACAAATTGCTAGGAGTCCTTGTACGGATCCTTTACTTTTACCTACTTTTTGTCTCCTGTTCTTCATTTTTTTTCAATGAAAAAATGCCTATTTTTAAAAATATTAATAAACATTTTTAAAACTTTTGGGTTTACACCTTTGTGGACCCATATATTATAGTTGGCAGAATAGATTAACTAGCTGACACACAGGATATACCTACTGTAGTCCTGACACTTAATTTGTGGTCAATAATACAAATTCATTACCATCGAGTTCCACCAATAAACAATCTGCTGTTTCATTAACATTCACTGTATGTCTGGATAATTAATCCAGAGGAAATTTGGAGAGTTGTTGCTATGGTTTACATGTTTTTGTTCCCTCCAAAACTCATGCCCAAACTTAGTCCCCAAGAGGTGGTGCTTAGTGGGAAGTCTTTGGGTCGTGAGGTCTCTGCCCTCATGAGTGAGCTAATGTTGATATTAAAAGGGCTTGTCATAGGCTGGGAGTGTAGGTGAATGGCAGAGCGTTTTCCTAGCATGTGCAAGGCCCTGCATTCCATCACCACCACTGTGTGTGGGGGGGGCAGAGCTGGGGGCCTTGTGGGAGTAGGTCCTCTCTCTTCCACTCTTTTGCCATGTAAAGACATAATGTTTATCAGGATAGTGCAGTAGTCAGGGTGCCATCTTGGAAGCAAAGGGACCAGTCCGTAACCTGTGGCACCTTGATTTTGAATTTCCTAGCCTTCGGAACCATGAGAGAAAACATTTCTGTTCTTTACAAATTATCCAGTCTCAGGTATTCGGTTTCAGCAGCACAAAATGGACCAAGTCAGTCGTAAATCCATACATTGCTCAATCTATTATCCTAACTGTCAACCACATGCACCCACAACTGAGGACATGACTGCCAGGAGAACCCAGGAACCATGGGCTAATTAGAAAATTAGTGAAGTCTCATAACAAACGACAGTGTGACTTTATTTGAAATTTTAATATTTTATTTATCATGGATTTTCCTTATACTTTGATTTTTAAAAATATTGTACTAAAATATTGCTCTTCATTACTGTTTGTTTTTTGTTGCCCCCTTAAATTTTGCTCTTAAGATTGAGGGTCTGACTCATCTCACTCTACTCCAATCCAAGCTCGGTCACCCAGCTTGTGAGTGAGCCAGGACTTGAAGACAACAATTTCTCTCCAGAAGTCACATTGTTAATGACTTTGTTATATACAACATCACAAAAGTGGTAGAATGTTCCTTTGCCTTGTCTGCTTGTAGCCTATTTAAGATGAGCAATTCACAAGAAAAAAATACAAAAACCTGGACAGAAAGAAGAAAAATAAATGTAGAATTAAATTCTGCACAGGACTTTGGTAACATAATTAGCACGATCAGTGCTGGGCACGATGAGTGCTGGGCAAGGCTATACTGAATCATGAAAAACTACTGTCTGCTCCTTCATGGCCTGACAAATGCTAAGGCAATTGATTCAGGC